ACACTAGGTGTTTGATAAAAGTTCTAAACCAATAAATTGTGATTTATCCTTTATATTTTGATTGTTTATGACTATGGTGTACAACATAGAAGTATGTTAAATTTAGTTTATGCTTGCAATTAACGTTCAAGTCTAAACTATGAACATTAAAGGATAAACATATATAGTACCGAAAATAGAAATATATCCGGTCTTATATGATACGGGTGTGATGTCTTGATATTCAACGGGGTTTTCGGTAGATGAATGTAAGCCGTAACGGGACTTACACGTAACGAAAACCACGCTCTCGCTGCCTTAACCGGAGTTGAGAATATATTAGCGACATCGTATTCATGATTATTGGGGAAGAACTATTATTAAACAACTATTAAAGCATTTAGGTAAATCCCGATTGCCTTAGTAATTCTCATTCTTGTTTAAACCAATCTCAAAGAGCAAAGTTCCTGAAAAAAAAATATATCATTTACATTCTTTGCATTCAATATTCGACTTTATAATAACAACCATTTCCCTGTGGATCGACCCGGTATTTACCGGTATTTTATTACTATATCGGCACTTGTATACTTGCAAGTTTAGCCCGATCATGTGTGCACTCAAAATAAATCGATACTAACACTTATACGTAGTATAGGTGAAGTAGAGTTCGTATCCACAGGGAAAGGAATAACTTTCTTTTTATGTAACTAGTAATAAAAAAGGGGGGTTTTGATTGTTGAATGATTTAATTAAATTAAACACGAAGATGAACGAGTTATATGAGATTAAATTCAAGAATAAAAGAGACTTGGCCGGTCTTGCTACTTTCCACTTGTTGATATATTTTAGTTGATCATTGTTATATCTATAACTTATCCCCTCTCGAATACTCAATCGCGGAGTATCTCCAACTCATCGAGAGTAGTTATTAACAACGACCGTTCATTAATAACCCTTACTATTTATCAAATATAGAACAACGCCGTATACCGATATAATAGTAGCATTTAACCTCTTTAATTCCTTGATGAAATCAATTGAGATTGATAACCTCAACACAACGGTTTCGGTTTAACCAACAAAATTAATCCCTCTTAAGTTTATTAACCACGACCGTGCATTAATAAACCGAAGTTACTTACTTGTGAAACCATCAACGTTTAACCATCGGTTCGTTGATCGTTTCTAGTAATAATCAATGTCGGAACGTTAACTAATCGTCACTTAGCCACCCTCCAACATTAATATAGAATGAGATTAAGGGAAGAATTAATAATCAAGAGGAGAAAGTAAGAAAATAACTCACAACTTTAATAATCAACAAGCTTCAAGAGCAAAACCAAGAAATGGAAGTTTAGCTCCTCATTTGGAGACTAAACATGCTAAAAGAAATATAAAGAAATGCTATTCTAAACTGAGTTTAAGAGTATAAAGGAATTGGTGTCCAAGTGTGAAGGAAAGGGGGTGTATTTATAGACTTTTTGGGAGTGCAGCTCGGGTACTCGATCGAGTATATACAGATACTCGATCGAGTATGTGTAGAAAATCGAATTCGATCCATACTCGATCGAGATTTGGGTAAAAGTTATAGCTATACCCGATCGAGTATGTCGGTGTACCCGATCGGGTATAGACATTCGATCGTGTCAAAATCTTCCCTGCATGTTCCTTTGTTTTTGGATCCGATCCGATTTGAAGTTTCAACAAGATACCCGATCGAGTATAGGTGATACTCGACCGGGTATAGACCAAAAATCAGGATCTTCCCTTTTGTCTTGTGATTTTGCACCTTCCTTCCACTTTTGGGGTTCACCAATTGTCCTTTGAGTGATTGTAGACCTGTTTGAGCTCAGAATAAACCTAATCTAAACAATTTACAAGAATTTAACAAACTAAACTATTACACCAAAAGTGTGTAATTTCCGAAATATTGAACAATCAAAACTAACTAAAAACGTAAATAAACACACGGAAATTACAAACGTATCAATAACATATTTCAGATGTTTGTGAGCACGAAGAACTGATTCAACGTGATGTTTCCAGAAAAGATAATTGTTTGAATCAAGTTTCAGAGGAAGAGGATGTGAAAAGCTCAACGGAAATGTAGTATTTTCGGCAGCGGCGGCAGTGGCGGAAGTAGTTGAAGAAGACACCATGGTCGAAGAACTCAGTGCTCTGATACCATATTGATAAACAGAGTATAACAGAATTCAGAAGAAATGCTCAAAATGATATTATTGATGTGTAAACCACTTTACATACTATTTATAGAAATGAAATAGAAGCTGCTAGAACTAACTACTATACAGATGACTTAACAGTAGTCGGTTAGTTAGGTGTATATCTAACACACTATATTCCTAATAGTAAGGTACTATGGGTTGCTGCATTTTGTTTACCCCACAAGCAGTGATTCAATAGCTCTACCAATTCTTGCACGTTTAACTCACCCCAAAATATAATTGTGCTTATAGAGCAGAGAAAACAAGCAAGCAATGCACATCACCATGTCACGTACGTTCTGACATGAAAGGAGAAAATCATACAAATGGGATGTCTCTTGATACGCGACTTCCAGTTAAAGACTCAGAAGGAGGAGGAAGAGAAGGAGGACAATTCACGAGATGGGGCCATGCACCGCCAGTATTCATTGGTGAAGAGGACTTGTTTGATGATACAATGTCTAATCCGTCTGTAACATTTTTTAGAATGATGTTTCTGGCGTTTAAGTACATGAATGTTACTAGAATGAATCGCCAGATTCTATGATTGCATTGTTTTTGCTGAACTCAAGTGCTCGTTGGCTGCCAGACGTGTATAATTATTTGAGAGAATTCCTTAAATAGGAGCAAAAATGTTCTCCCGGCATTTACCCCACTGATTTTGGTGGTTTGCCTTCCGGGTTAAAAAAAAAAAAAAAAAGGAGCAAAAATGTTTTGAAATTTCAAAATAGGACAATCATGTTTTTTATTCCTTGAATAGAAGTAAATTTCTGCAAAGTTTGGTATTACTAGGCTTTAAACATGACATTTGTTTCCCAAACTTGGCAGATTACTTCTATTCAGGGAATAAAAAACATGATAGTCTTATTTTGGAATTTCAAAACGTTTTTACTCCTATTTACGGCAATTTCTGTAATTTTAAGTATGAGATTATTGTTTTTAATTAATATAGGTATTAAGTTGTATTACTACAATATAAACGATTCATTTAATTAATAAAGTATGAGATTATCTACTATATCGATAATTTAATAGATTTATTTAATTAATAAAAACATCATAGTTTTATTAATGAAAAAATATTTATAAATTAATAATAATACCGGGAAAGAGTAACATAAAATTAAAAAAAAATTAAAAAATAACTAAAACCTTAAGAAAAAAAAGAAATTAAATAAAATACCTAAGAATATACAAAATATGTGGACCTATGTCGCCGTATTCTCCACCTCCCAGCACCACCAGCTCCGATTGCCTAAAAATGTTATTTTATGTAAAAGAAAGTGGCATGTTCCTCTGAAAATGTCATGAAAATGACATTTTTAATTTTTTGAAAATATCTGACTTTGCTTTTAAAATTTGCATCACGATGATAATTTTTTGCCCGTTGGCCTTAGTTTCCGGAGACTGAAGGTGACGATGCTAGAAGGTGGCTGAGGTGGTACTGGTTGAGGTATGTATATATTTTTATTTTTCTTACCATTTTTATTTTACTGTAATTGTTTTATGTTTTATTATTATTGTTAAGAATCCTATTAAGCGTGACAAGGGAAAGGGTAAGATATGAAGGATTAGTTTTATTTTGGGAATTTAAACTTTATGCTCCTGTAATTACAATTTTCTTTCATTTATTTCTATTTGCGGAATTGCCCTTATAAAGAAGTTTATTACTCCTCCGTTTCGTGCCGCTAAGATTGTCTTATCTTTCTTTTTCGGTCTGTCCGACTAAAATGGTCTCATATCAAATTTGATAAAATTTGTGTTGTTCTAAATCATTTTTAGTTTATTCATATTTTATCATTTCAATATAAATCACACAAATTCACTTTTTACGTAAGAGTTTATTTCAAAAAACAAAAACAAGCAAGAATTTTTATAATTGCATCGTATATGAATACGCTTGTCATCTGTCAAGAGAATATATTTGGTCAAGATGCAATTAAACTTTTTGAATTTTTGAAAGGTAGTAAAACCCTAAAAGTCATGGAACCCAACACATTTAATCTATTACGATCATTATTTGATCGGAATTTATCATAGTCCTCGATCTAATTCTCATTAGCTAGCAAACTACTTAAAATGTTTTCCTTGCTCAAATGTAAGTTCATTGAGTCCTAATCAAACTTGAAAATGTCTAGATCTCTTTTACCCTTTTTAACTACTGCGTATTTAATCTGTAGAATATTTACATGTGTGTGTATATATATATATACTCAATGTAATTATAATTACAACTCATGAGCACCAGTGCTTGTGAGTACATAAGTGACAAGACCTGTAACCTTCATAGGTGCTCTAGTAGATAGTGAAACCCATAATTCCTGTGAAGGTTACAGGTCTTGTCATCATGTGTATTGGACGAACAACCTCAGCTCTTGTATTCATGGATATAAGGTCTAGCTCAATTGGATTGATAGAGGCATAGAGCCTTGTATTTACAACCTCCAATATGACTTGTTGAGTAGGGTCGGGGATTCAATTTTTTTTTTTTACTTCAGGGGATCTGGGGGAGGGGGGCTGGGGGAGCCTGAAGTAATCAGGGCTGAAACTCACTCTATTGAATTTCAAACCCTTATGGCCTTATGCATGTGCCTAGCGGGTTTCGAACTCGCGCGAGACCTCCAGTAGGCACGGTAACCTCACAACTCGGGGATTCAACCTTTTGGAGGAAGAAAAATGTGCTCCACTACGTTTTGAAATGTACCACATACACACAAAATACATATACTACAAACCGTACTCAGAAATGAATTAAAATAGGTACAGACTTGAGGCGTCGAGTTCCAAAAGTGTGTCCAGATAAAGCTAAGGCTGTTTCATACATAGACCAAATGTTCTTCGATCAACTTGCCGTGGACGGGACGTCACGCGGAGATGTATGAATCCATGCACCATCGTCATTATTATTATTCTAAAGAAGAATTTATAGTACTACGTATATAGCTCATCCCCTTGGCCATAGCTAGGCTTTTTAATTAAATATAATAAGTTCCCCAAAATTTATATGCTTTTATTTGATTTCTTTTCTTATACGATAGTATATTTCATTCACCTGGATCATATCATCGTTTCAATTTTCTACTCCGGCCGCCAGTTCAGAGAGCGTCTTGCATGTGTCGGTACGTTCTTCAATTCCCTGGCCTTATTATTCCACGCACTGTTTATTGGATGGATCTTTTCATTTATTTCTCTGCTTCCAGTTAGTTATACGAAATTATATTGATGAATTGAGCAAAAATTCCATAAATGGTTTGTTGAGCCTTTAATAAAATATTCGGATCCTACATGTATAATTTTTGTATTCCTAGCTAGTCCTTATTGATAGTCATCTAATTTTCAGTTCTATTATTGAAAAAATTCCATAGACATACAACATATTTGGAAAATCTCATATATATGCTGTACGTTAGACCTTGTAGGGCTAGAGGGTAATAAAATGGGATATCGATCCCTTGTACTCCCTCCGTCCCAGAAAATTCTTCCAAGTTTGACTTGGATCGGAGTTTAAGAAAGTGGGAATAAAGTGGAAATGTGTGGTTGTAGTTGTGTAAGAAAAAAGTGAAATGAATGTGAGCCACACAAATAATCAAAAAGGTGAAGTTGGAAGAATTTTCTGGGACGTCCCAAAAAGGAAAGTTGGAAGAATTTTCTGGGACGGAGGGAGTAATAAGTTTAGAAATGGAAGAAGTTTGATGATTTCTTCGTCATTACTAGCTAGTGGAAGTCAAAATATTAATTGATTTAGGGTTTAAGGGATATAAATCTTCATACACCTTCTAACAATCTAAAGGTAGAGAACTAATAGTCCGGATTAATAAAAAGAGAGAGTATATAATTGAGATTATTTATAAATTATGCTTAACTTCCATTTAAAAGTGATCGGCTATACGTACTGATAGATCATATACTATTATTATTGGCGGATGATCCATGTAGTTTGGACTATAAAAAAACAGTCAATAATCGATAATTGGAATTACTAAAAGCGGATCAACTATAGTTGGCATTATTTGTTTTCATTTTTCTTAAATAATCTTTCAGGTTAATTTCAATGTTTTTCGAATTAATGGTGTTATTTATGATTTGATTAATATTTTTATGTTATAGTTGTACACAAGGATGTAATATCGCCTTCACTAAGTACAATTGTGGATTTTTGTCACGCAGAGACCATGCATGGCGTTTAAATGATTATGGTGAGGCTGCCAGCATGCAAAGTTGAACATTTTCAGTAAAAAAAAGGGCTGCATTTTCGATCTGTCAGCATTGAATGAAAATATAAAAATGGTTTCTGATGATGAAGATGGGGCTACTACTCACACCACCACCAGCAGGTTCGACTGCAACATCTGCCTAGATTCTGCCCATGACCCTGTGGTCACTTTTTGTGGTCATTTGTACTGCTGGCCTTGCATTTACCTTTGGCTAAGCACCTCCAATGAACACCCTTCTCACCACCCCAATTGTCCTGTTTGCAAGTCTTATATCTCCAAATCCACCCTCGTCCCTCTTTACGGTGACAGCGTATCGTCCTCGTCCTCCTCGTCCTCGTCCTCCTCCTCCTCCTCGTCTGTCTCTGATACCAAGAAGCACCAACCGAACTTCGTCCACATACCTCAAAGGCCACCGGCTCTTAGTGTGGGGGTGGTGCATGATAATCCCGATGACCCGCCGCCACCGCTACCGTCAGAACCGCCGCCGTACATGTCTCATTCCCTTGGGGGCAGCCATGGTTCCACTCGGGCTGGCATTGGTGGCACAGTCATTGCCGGATTTTTTAACCCCACCATTGGGGAAATGTTTTCTGCAGCAATGTTTGGGAGCTACGATGCTAACTTGTTATTAGCCTATCCCAGTCTGGATCCAAGAATTAGGAGACAAGAAATCATGGTGGGCAGATCACTTCATAGATTATACATCTTTCTCCTGTGTTGCCTCATTTTGTGCCTTCTTCTTTTCTAATTAAATGTGTGTGGATCTAATTCTTAAAATTACTTCTACTATTTTAGGGAATAGAAGCAGATATTGAAATGTTTGAATGAAAGTATAAAAGTACTTCTAAGTGCTCCAAAATACTTCTAAAAGCAGTTTTTAGAAGTCGGGAAAAACTGAAAATTAATTCTAATTCTGTTTTTAAAAGAGAAGAAAAAATAGAATTAATTCAAAACACATCATCATAAGTCCTTCCTCTTTGTTTGTAGACTTCTACTTTTTTACTGTAAACAATTACCGCGCTGACCAACTTACTCACAAGTCACAACGTCGTAGATGCTCCGCTGTTTACTTTTGTTTACTTTTGTGTGCCTTGCTTAATACAGGCAATTAATCTTGAAGTGACTGCCACTAATCATGTTTATTTATAAATTATAACTTTATTTGCTCGGAAATATGACCTAAGTACGCGTTAAAGCTTATACTCCATTAAAACGTTTATTTAATTATGTCAACCATAACTTTTATTTTTTATTTTAAGAAGCGAATTATGGATCATATGAGTTGTAACGAATAACGAATACATTGATCGAATAACGAATTAACAAGATAACTTAAAAACTTAAATAAGTTGTAATACTGTACAACAACAACATCCAAGTCTTAGTCCCAAACGATATTGGGGTCGGTTAACATGAATCGATACATGATATCACCAAAAGGAAAAGAAAGAAAATACAGATAAAAAAGACAAGCTATTATAAAAAAAAGATAATATAAAGGGAAAATGGAAACTAATAATCCAACCTTTTAACGGTCTTCTTTCAATAATCCCACATTTTGATTATTCATGAATAATCCAACCTTTGTACCCCATCTTCATTCATTGGTCCCTGGTCGGTTAATGACCTACTATTCCAAGTTATTTTCTTATCTTTACAAAATATTATCTTTGTGAAAGATGAGATTTATGGTATAATGATTTGAAAAGATAAGAAAATAGCTTGGAATAGCAGGTCATCAACCGGTCAGGGACCAGTGAATGAAGATGAGGTGCAAAGGTTGGATTATTCATGAATAAACAAAAGGTTGGATTATTGTAAGAAGACCGCTAAAAGGTTGGATTATTAGTTTCCATTTTCCCTAATATAAATGAGATGAATATACATATAAAAGATAAAATAAAAAGGATAAAGTAATATTTATATATAAGGATAAAAAATATAAAAGAAAAAGAAAAAAAAAGAAGAAAAAAAAAGAGGGGAAAAGATGATACAAGATCACTCCTCCACACGAATACTCGTCCTCCATTTTGCTCTCTCCAAAGCCATACCCTCATCCAATCCAAGAAGAAGCATATCACTTCTGACTCCCCTAACCCACGTCTGTTTGGGCCTTCCTCTCCCTCTCTTCCCTGCCTCTTCTCCACACATCTCAACTCGTCTGACAGATGCATCACTCGGTCTTCTATGCACATGACCAAATCACCGTAGGCGCGACTCCCGCATCTTATCTTCAATAAGTTGTAATACTGTATTCGGTGCAAATTGGACAAAGTGAATACCGTTTTATATAAAAATCAAAAGATCCAAATAAATGTAAAGAGACATTTTAGTTCAGATATTTCGAGCCCGTTTGGTAGCACGAAAATCGGCTGATTTGGCTGATTCTGCTGAAATTTATGAAGTTCTCTCTGAAGTAGATGCATTGGCTGATTCTGTTGATTTAAGAAAAAAAATATATACTTATATTAATAAAATAAATAAAAAAAAGTATTTAAAAAATAGCTAAAATGGTCATCTCACAGTAATTTCATCCAATACAGCCAGAAAAGTAACTTCAACCTTACTTTTTCTGCTTATTACACAATTCAGCGTGCGAAAGAAAAAGTTACGTGTTTGGTAGAAAAGCAGGTTGATAAGTCTGATAAACCAAAAAATAATACTGCCAAAGGGCCTCTACGTATGATTTAATCAACACAAAAAGTGGTAAATAATTAAGCTCTTAGGTCAGGTGTAGAATGTAGATGGGGTTGAGATTCCGGTCGGTGAAAGTCTACTACGTACAAAGCAATTCCTGAAAATGCTTTTGAAAATTGGGATGGTTATTCTCCGTAATTGATAATTACATTTGTTAGTTTGCTATTAAAAGTGTAATAGTTTTAACATTGGAATAGGTTGAATTTGCTGAAATTGAAGACGTCATTGGGAAGTGGTTGGATTATGAAAAAATTATACTACGTATGTAAAATACCTTTAATTTTATTAATAAGCTAAAGAAAAAATTGTTTAAGAGATTAGTTAAAGTCGCTCTCTGCAGTAACTTAAGCCAGAATAGTAACTCTAACTTTACTTATTTTGATGATTACATAATGCACCGCACGAAGTCAAAATTTATGCATTTTGTGATACCTAAAAGTTGACTGATAAACCTTATAATTATGCGGAAATAAGGAGTTACCAAATAGGCTATTAGTGTAGTTTTAAGGATGATTTAACCTCGCACCCTATGGTTTGGTAGACATTAGATTTTATGAAGAAGCATCCTTTATAAATGATTATAACAATGGTTTTAGCTCATGCAAATATGCACTTTATTTGTTTTAGGTTGATCCATGTAAATTATTTTGTTTATTTTGAATCCATGTAATGTGCATTATTTTGGTATTATTTCATCTCAAACCCAGAAACAACTCTACTTAATTTTTTTTTTAATTGTCGGTCGCATAAATCTACTAGAAACAATTATATTATCATTTCATAATTTGTTTTGAGGCTAATATGAGAGTTAAAACGATATAACACTAATTATTCGCTTTTCCATAATATGTATTATAAGCCTTCTAAAAATGAAATTAAATACTTTTTGAATGACATGTGAAAGAATTAGAAGAAACATATATTAGTCAGGGTTGTTTCATTGTCAAATAGAGGTTGTTATCATTACTCATTTACTAAAAAAATTAACATAAATTTCAGGGATGAAAAACAAAGAAAATATTTTACAAAGATCTAAAACAAAGTATGTCATATTTGCATGGACTAAAAGTATATTTAAACCCTTATAATTTCCTATTCACATTGAAATAAGGAGTACTCTTTTTTTTTATGATAAATAAAGAGTACCCTTGAAATGATTTAGAATTTTAAAGTGGTTAATCTCTTGAAGTTATGCTTGAAATGTCTAAACTAATAAAATATACAGTACTAAATTATGAAAATACTTTATACTTGGATATTCTTGGCTCTAATTTTTATAGGGATTGTATTAAATACAAAAAACACCCTTTATTAATTTAGAAGACTAAGGATTTGTCTATTCAGATACAAAATGAACGGTTGTCATTGAGTCTTTGTCTAAAAAATTTGAATTGCCCAAAGCTACTGAATTATGAAGAGGTTATGATAAAATATGATATATTACTACTACATGTGTCCCAAATTCATTTTGAAATAGTGATTGACCTGCAGGTTCAATGACAAAAACACACCAAAAATCTATTGAAGTACACAAAAAGTATTCATATATCATGAAAAGTGAAACTCCCAATTAAAAAAAATAAAAAAACCTAAATTTGTAATCTTCAACAATTAAAATGATCTCAATTCTTTGTGTACACTTGGTAAAATCTTTATTAATAATACTAATATGCTAAACAACATGGTCACAGAAAATTAAAAGAGGATTTAGAAGAAGCGACATGTGCAAATTATATCTCCTATTAAATGAAGTCTTATGTTTAATTTTCTTGTTATAGTCAATTTAACTATTTTTCTATAAACTTATGGTAAAAATGGATTCATCAACAATCTTAATTAAATAGTTCCAAGATCAATGTCAATGGAAGATGTTTATTATATCTAGCAACTACATACATCATAACCGTGAATAGTTTATTAGAATATCAAGTTATTTTGATTGCTGAGCCATACATGCTTCAAGTTATGTTAAACTTGAGATTTTAATGTAAAATATTATTGTTCTACTATAAATTACTATTAATGTTTAAGTATGATCAATATGCAACAAAATAATGACATTTATTATGTAGTCAATGACTCGATGTGAGTATATGATATTATTACTTGATGACATTATGACTTCTTGATAAGGATAGTATAATGTTATAATGATGGGATTCTTGTTATAACAAAATATACTACACGCCGAGTCAAAATTCCAAAGTCTACTTTTTTCTAAATGATGACATTCACTCAACTTTACTACCCCTCCGTATTTAAAAGATCTTTACACTAGAGATTGACATTTAGCACAATATTTAAGGGGAAAATAGTAGGGGTAATGAATAGTGTAGAAAAAGTAGGAGAGAAGGTAGAAAAATAGGAAAGAGAAGATAAAAAGTAGAAAAAGTAGGGGTAATTGAGTATTTTTAAAAGAAAACTTATCAAAAAGGGAAAATGTAGCAAACTTTTAAATACATCCCAAAAAAGAAAGTGTAGAGAACTTTTAAATACGGAGGGAGTAATAAAATGGAAAAGTTAGTCTCTTTTTACATTTTCACAATATTTCCCATATACTTCAATCCCATATACGGAGTATATTTTTTTCTTCCTGATAACCGCACTTAAGTTCCGCCATCAAGAGAAAGCTGTCCGATCTTAAATCTAACAATTGAGAACCAAATACAGGCAGCTTTGGAGAGTGCAGCTTCATCGTAAAGACATATATCAGATTGCTGGCACATAAAATACGTAAGACATTTTATAGGTAGACTTCATCAAATAAATCCCATTTTCTTCCCATTTTATAGGTAGACTTCATCAAATAAATCCCATTTTCTTCAACAACTTTTGAAGTGTGGAAATCAATTTGACAGTCTAAGAAGCCGTTTGGCAACACAGTTTTTCGGCTTATCAGCCAACTTTTTCACCAAACATGTAACTTTTACTTACGCGCGCTGAGTTGTGTAATAAGCAGAAAAAGTAAGGTTAAAGTTACTTTTCTGGCTGTTTTGGCTGAAGTTACCGTAGAGGACTATTTTAGCTATTTTTACATATAATTTTTTCTTTATTTATTAATAAAATATATTTTAAAAATAATTGTTTCTTAAATCAGCAGAATCAGCCAAAACAGCCTATTTTCGGACTACCAAACGGGCTCTAAAATAGCACTTAAGCATTACTGGAAAATGGACTATGTGCTATTCTTGCATATCAATAGGTTTTTAAGTTTCTATATTCAATGACGTCCTGATACATTTAAAATCTCACACACAACACACACATACAGGATATGGTACACAAACAACCTAAAAATGCATCAACAGTAATCTACCTGAGTTCCCAAACTTCCAAGTGTTCAGTCTTTTTCCAGTTCTCTTCGTACAGGCATCGAAAAGGATCGTGGAGCTACTTCTGGAAGGAACCTGGGTGGAACTGTGAAAGACATAGAAGCAGAGGGTACAAGGAGAGGTGTACCAGGACGACTTGAGTTTTCATTAGCATTTACAGAAAGACCTGCTTCACCAACTGTGTGATGTTGTAACTCGATTGCGAATGTGTCATCTCCATAGCTTGTTTGAGAGCTATCAGGAAACTGTCTGTCATCTTCCTCAACGGACAAAACCGTTCTGCCATCTGTGTGCACAGTTGTTGAATCATCAACAGTGTGATGCTTTCTTTTTCTCCTAGCTGCCTTTCCCCAACCATGTATAGTTTCTCTTATTCTCTGTGGGATAAGGGCTGCCTTATAGTTTGTTCCCATCTGTCGGTAGAGGAAAGATTGCACCATGAATGTTTAAAGTTCAATGACTATACACCAATGGATGAATATTTGGACTTCACATTCCATATCAAAGGTCAACTCGATAAGACAAGTAGCTTATGGGTATGTTTGGCACAACTAGCTGAAAAGATACTTTTGTGAGCTTTTTAGTAACTGTTAGCTTTTAGTGACTGAAAAGATCTTAAAAAGAAAAGGTGATAGCTGTTTGGTAAAAAGCTGACTGTTTGATTTAGTTCGGTTTGGTATACAAGCTGTTAGGACTAATTAATACTAAAAGTCACGAGCTTTTCTCAGATGCTACACCCGGTAGCATCTCAAAAAAGATCTTTTAATTTTTGAAAAGCTCTTAAAAAATGTCATGCCAAACATACAACTAGAGTCTTTTAAGATCTTTTTAAAGAAAAGAGAAGTCAGAAGGCAGAGGCTTTTGTGTGCCAAACATGGCCTATATATGAGCTCATATCTTTAGGGTGACTCATTGGAGAAAACCCACTGATTGCTAGTTTGAACTTAATGGGCTCTAATAACATAATAAGACTCAAAGTTACATCCTATAAGGTAAATCTCAAAATCTTATACTTAATTTTGACCATGACTACAATTTGACAAGGCTCAGTTTAGAACCCGTAGAGTATCGGCTACTTTCAAAAATTTGTGCAAAGAATTAGACTTTTTTATAATTAGGGCTTCTTGAAGTTACCTGAGTAACCAGTGCATAGAGGGGTAAGGTGCTATAGCTGCATAAAAACTGACTTGCAAACCTGAGTGATAAACAGTAGAATTAGCCTCAAGCAACCATGGACGCATTGTTACATGGAAAATATGGTTTAAAACGTCTCATACCCTATAATTAGCCGTAGGTACACTAGCGTGTGATTAAATATAAAGCATGAGTTATAGCCAAATTGCCACTGCAACAAAGAATAGGTTCATTAGAATGGACATAAATGTGAATGTGCACATAAATGTACAAACATACAATTAGTTTGTACATGGGTCAAATCCTAATTCATCTTAGTTTTAGGTCAAACCCGAGAAAAATGTCCAACTTCAAGTAAGAAAATGCATGCCTTAGTAATTAACCTAATTACTGATCCAGTACAACTGAACATTATAATTTACTCTGACAATAATCTACAAAATTCATGAATTTTGGCATCTATTCTCTATGTAAAAAAATTTAAATCTCAACTAAGGAAGAAAGTACAGATTAGGTCATTTTGTTTCCCTGAGCAAAAAGAAAAGGGAAAAGGGATTACCCAAAACCAGAAGAAAGAAGCTAGCTCAAATGCATTCTGCAACGGAAGGGGCACCACATGTTCAACAGAAATATGGAAGTCTTATGTTTCATCAACATTTAAAAGGAAAAAATGGAGAAAATTAATAAACTAGTCAGAAGGAAATTATCAACCTGGAAGACAACAAAGTGAATCAAAGATAGCAGTAACTCTGGCTTCTTAAACCAAAAAAGTTCATCTCTTGGTTTTAGCTTTGTTGAGTTTGTTCCCTGGAAATAGCTGGTTATTCCTGCACTCTCCAATGCCAAGGTTGCTATAACGTGTTGAAGTTTAGTGCCAATCAGTAGAACAAGCTGACAAATATGGTAGAAGCAGAAGAGATATATTGGCAGCTTGTTAACATATATGTCAGAAGTGTGATAATCTAGTTTGTGTGTGTGTGCGCGTGTATATAAATTGTGAGTGTATATATATTGTGAGTGTATGTTTTCAGCAGTTATTCTTAAGTGTGATAATCTAGTTTCTTCAGAACAGAACATAACAGAACAGATTCGTTTTTCATGGAATTTGTTTTATTAAAATTCATTGTACATATCATGAACAAAAGTGATCAACACATGGTGTAGTGTTGCATTCGAATCTGCACAACTCACAGTGATTGGAAATATTGCAATCCAGAAATAGAGATTCGACCCTGCGAGATACAGAAAATGAGGATAAGCAGTTGAGCACAATGTCTAGGTCTAATAGCCACAACAACTGGTAGAGAAGTGGTCCTTAGTCCTTGCTAATTTAAAACATCATGAGTTATTACTTCTCCCAACTTGAATACTTATGCTAAACGATAGTATCATATACCTTTGATATTAAAGAGCATAAACGCGACCACAAATCCCCATAGTGGTGCACTACAAAAAGAATAGAGGTGTGTCAAAATCAATCAAATGCAAAATTTGCATGGCATCATCTATAGTAGTAATGCATAGGAAAATATATTTCTGTCATTTGGTTGTATCGTAAATAATGATATGTACCATGTTAAAGATATAGTACAAATGTTAGCTTTTCAAACTTTTATATTTACCTGACACCAACAATTCTTTGGAACTCTTCTTCCATGGATCGAATCATATAGCTATGAAAATCATACTTCAACGTAAGGTTGTGGTTCTGTAAGGATAAAACAAGGCTTGAAAACTTGAGTCGAAGAATGCAAAGCATGTATGCAGTTATTCAAACAAACCAACCCAGTCATAAAAAGTAGAGGTTTTCCTGTATGATAATACTAAATATTTTCATGAACAAAATAGGTTGCTAAAATACCATCATGTTCACTGCAGTGTACAATTGAATGACACTCACTACGAAAATAACACTATGGTCATCACGTATTAAAAGTCATATTTTTTGTCCATTACTTTTGTTTGTCTTTTTTTCTAAATAGCATGTTGATGTTTCAACTTCAACCATTCTGCAAAATGTGTTTTTTCTAAGTACTTGCATACCATGATAAAACCCTTCCTTAGTGTAAGGTAATCAGCACGAACAACTGAATGCCCAAATTGCCTGAAAAAACAGGTCTGCGAGAAGCATATATTTTTTCAAAGATACTATCAGGTTTATGAAGTTAAAAAATCATAGTTCTGGAGCATAAAAATGAAAAGGAACTTGCAATTATGTTGGAAAGAAAATCTAGGCATGGGAAATGTATGCTTTAGTATTGTGACATAATATACATACCACCCAAATGAGAACACTATTCCTAGACAAAGGATTTGAGATATGGACTCTAACAAAAGTTGATTGCCTTCGCATTGTCATTGCTCTTGTATTATCTGTAAAGACCAAAAAGGTTAATAAAAAAAGAAAGCCCAAGAAAAAGTTTGAAGAAAAGAATATCAGAAATCAAATCTGCAATTCATTTTGTTTGTGTGAACTTGCTAGGAGGTATTAAAGTCATTGACTATAGTTTATTGGAATAGCATACAGCATGACACATCTCAACATACTCCCTTGAGAAACTAAAAAGAATGTGACTCTGCAAACACTAATGGTGGCACAGGCAAGGGTTAATATATAACTGACAGAAAATTAGGAATTATATATCCTCACAATTCACACAAGATAACAATATATTTGCTATTAACCACTACTATTTATTCAGAACTATATGAAGACAGTTAACTTTAGGAACAGGAAAATGAAGACTATTATTCAACCTGGCAGTTATAAATTCATAAATCATAACCTACCAGTTAATGCCCCGTGTTGGTCCATTTTAGCTTCATCCTCCCAAACTCTCCAAGTATGGACCTGTCATGAACAAGAAGAAATGACTCTAATGAAGAGAATGTTATGGTAGTTTCATTCAACAGCTAGTAGAAAAAAACAGCAAGAGTTGCAATGGTTACATATAACTTATTCGGCATTGTTCTGGAGACAGAGAATCCTACATGCTTATTTTACTTTCACAAACAAGCCCTAGTTTTACACTTAAGCATTAATTATATTTTGTACAAGTAAAAATCTCTTCACATACGTCATGTGAAATGATTCAATATTTGGTTGGGTTCACTATATTGGGCATTTGGGCCATAAAGCACAAGCACCTTTTCCAAACATCACAAGAAGATTATATCTAAGCTATTAGCTAGCTCAACTGAAGGTCTTACTTAACTCTGTATTTTAAATACCACAGAACAAGATTAGTGAAATCTGATGCTTTAGAAGGACATGAAATCAATCAGAATGTACCAGAACTAAAACACAACCTTGATAATGGCCAGTAGCATTGTCAAGCAGCTGTAAAATATATGAGTAAGGGCCATGACAAAGATGAAACGGTGCAACTGCTCTAGGCCTTCATAAGATACGAATGGTTCATGACTCTGCAGAAAAGGTTCTTTATTCAAATTGCAGCTGTTTGGAAGCTAGATAAAATATGAAGAAGGAAGCTGAAAGACAAGACAAAGCGAGTAAAGATGCAACAAATTAATGAATCTTAACTATACTGTACGAAGTGTAGTCTTATAACTGTATGAAGGAGGGAATATTTACATGCCTCGGGGCAAGTGTTTCGATCTAAACTATTAAGCATTCTTCTTTGCGGATGATCGAGCAAGAGTTCCATCAAAAGTTTCCGCTCCTTGAAATCATCATTTTGCTTTTCTTCTTCAATGTCAGACTTTTTGCAAGGTGCAAATGCACTGTCATAATATTTCGATGGGATGCAAGTATTGGATATGATGCTAGATGTTGCTGTAAGTAAGAGAGAAATGAATCCTAGTAGCATTAACTCTGCACGCAAATTTACAGACAAGGTTTTGAATTAGACTCGCTAAAAACACACTACGTATTAATGAGTGATTAAGTCATTGAGTGAACCATTTTCTCCTGTTGGAGCATAGTTTAACGGTGTATACCTTCTTTCATTTTCTCCACAGCTGCAAGCAGAGGTTTTCTATCAGTTTCCTTCAGCCACTGGCATGCATAAAAAATTTAAATTATATATATTACATGAGTTCATGAGAAGCAATATTTTGTCTCAAATTCCAATTCTTTATAACCACAATGAAGACCATCTCTACAATGACAAATAACTGAAAAGCCCATTTTTCTCTATTACAGAGTATGTCTTTACATCGACTAAATATGGCATAACAAATCAATATATATGATATCGTACTTTTCTTCTTATTAGATCTTTCTTAGTTGTAATTTTTCTCCTATTAAATTGATCTTTTAGAACGGAATCCAATTCTAACTATTGTATCAAAGTCAAACAGTAAGTTGGTTCTATATGAAATAAACAAAGATATTACACAATCCAAATGAGTTACCGAATCGTAAGGGACGTGTGGGAAAAATATTTCTGTTGTTCCTTTGTTGACTACATACAAATTGAGAAATCAACTAAAACTCCAATTAGATTTGACCTCTTAAGTTGAAACTTAAAGTCTTAATATGCTTGTTTATCATTTTCTATTCTGAATACAAAAATAATAGCATTACCCAAGGTGAACAATATCTAATCTTTAGCATCAACATCTTAATATGTCAATATCTCTAAGCACTTGTTTATTACAAAACATTCTAGAAACAATATCCCAAACAAAGACTTACATTGCATAGTCGGTGTATGGATCGCTCCACAAGCAGAGAAACAACAACAAAGACAGTCAATACAGATGCAACAGACCATGTTGGTGTTAAAGCCAATGACCGAAGTTCAGTTGAACTCTCAGACATTTTCAATGACTTTTCACAAATTGCCCTATCACAACCTCAACTACACCTCACCTCTGCTTAAACCAATCTCCAAAACATGACAATGAAAGTACAAGAAACCTACTCACCCCAGGTTGAATATCAGAACTTTCACATTAAAGAAAGCTATAGCATGGTATGTCCATCCAGCAGTTGTACTGTGAATATTTAACTGAAGAGATGAACAACATGTTTTGTCCCATGACCATTGACTTTCCACAAGATCCAACCTTTACGAACAAGGAGTGCTTCAACTTGACCATAAAAAAGAGGCACTCTTGTTTATCCTTCAATTAAATTTCCAATTTTTTAGTAACTGAATATCCCAGCTTCTCCAACACCATCCGGATTCAGCCCAAAGGAACCCGAATCTAAATAAATGAGTAATTTTCTGGCTGACAAGAAGCAATGAAGAACAACTTACACCTACAAATCCTCCAATGTATAAGCACACGAACAGAGAACTAAATATTGAAGTTAATAGCTACTAAGCACAGACCTAAGACCATTGAAACAAGAACAAGGTTCGAGGAAAGAAGAATAAGGTTCGAAGGTTCAGAAGAATAAGACAGATGATTGTGAAGGGCAGAAAATACAGAGGTTTCTTTGGCATTCTTGGGGCTAGCCAGCACCCACCTCACAACCTATGTTGGGGGAGATGGGACAGGTGAGGACCGTGAGGTCAGGTCCCCAGCAAATTCCTTTTTCTCAAATGAAATGGATATAGTGAAATTATAAAACAATGAGTCCACGTGAAATTATAAAACAATGAGTCCACGTGTTATAGATAATTTGACCAGCGTTTTAGGCAAAAAAATAGATTTTCACACAGACAATTAAAAAAATGTGGTATTTTCTCCGTTGTGATATTATTATCTCATGTTTTCTTTTGGTTCATCTCATTAAGATTGTCTCATATCAAATTCGATAAAGTTTATATAATTATGTATCATTCTTATTTTGTTTTTACTTTATTAATTTAATATCAACAATATAATTCAATTTTTATAATAAATGTTTCAAAAAAGGTTGAATCAATAACTCCACCTTACACCTCGACCCGACAAAGTATTTGGGAAATTATAAATCATGATGGTTCAGTCATTTCAGTGATAGTAGCCTTCCTATTGGCGCGCACCAAAAGTTCAGTCCAGTCCATAGAAGTAATAATGTCAACACGGGCGTTGCCCATTTAGATTTTTAGTTATTGTTTCAATTTTTCACTACTTAATTAGGTGATCTATTATTGGGAGTTTGGGAATATAAAACGGAATAAACGTCGTGCAATAATTTTTGATAACCAATCTTTTTGGCTGTTTGACTATTTTCATCATTTAAGGGTCAATGTGCACGCATAGAAAAATGATTGGACTACAAAAATTCAACGATCAGTTGGCATTTAAAAGAATGATTTTTAACTATTGCTCTCCCTCCCAGTATCCTAAATTTGACTATTTAAATACCAAAATTAATTAGCGAGAGTGATTTTTGTTTATAGAGTGAACATCTCTATTGTCGTGCTCCAATTATGAGTTCACTATCAGTCTATCACCTTTATTTCTTACAAATCAATTCACTATTACTCCGTACCTAAAAACTCTAATTTAATTCAATAATAAAGTAGCTAACTTTGTTTATTTGAATTCAGATCACTGATTTCCCAAGATATTAGAAGTCCATTTCCTAAATTAGAAGGGACTTGCAAGATAATAAATTTAAAAATCATAAGTCACTGGCATTTATGAAAATGTATGTTTTATATCACCACTAGATACTAGTTACTAGTTGTATTATCCTCTTTTTTGAATAAATCATTGTAGCCTTTGAATTTTTTTGATGATTTTTCCTACGAACCTTCCAACAAAATTAAAAAAACAAATTCCTTCGACGATTTGCGTTTGTGAAAATTTCTAAAGGTACACATTTTTTTGTGTACACACTTTTATACATATCTGTGTAAGTTTTTTTGTCTGTATAGACAACGTATTTGGAAGTGTGTACAGACAAAAAAAACTACACAGACATGTGTAAAAGTGTGTACACCAAAAGCATGTACCCCAAGTCTAACTCTCCACCTAACGCCCAAGGTGGTTATTTTGGCAAATCTCGTCGAGTCGTAGTCAGTAGGGAGTTAGGGACAACGTGGTGGAGGAGGGCAGTTGGCTAGCTATTGGGGGGTTGAATTATAAAGTGCACATTTTTTTTTCAATAATTTATTTAACTTAATTTCCGATTTAATTATAAGCTGATTTTTGTGAATATAATCTAATTTCACGAAGAATATTCTCAAAAAAACCATAAAAAATTCCACCGAAAACCACCTTAAACTGCAGATTATGCACGACAGTCCTGGTTAGGAGCTCCTGACAAGAACGATACTCTATATATAAGTATATTTATATTTATTTGTATTATTTTTATTTATACAAATATACTTAACGCAAATAGGCATAAAAGTGTTTTTTATCATCAAATCCAACGAATATATTAAATCAAACTAACGTTCGTCACATGACTGAAAATACAATCAAAGACAAAGAAGTAAACAAAGCGGTAAAAAACCTTATGGCTGCCGTCCGCCCTCGAACCAAACTTAGAATCTATCACATCTGAAGAAGCATTAATTTTCGTTGATCATGTAATGGGCTTAACTAAGCCAATGACTAGCAAACCAGATTTCTCAACAGATCACCCAACTTAAATTCTAGAATCTCTCTGCTAGGAAATACGAACACGTCTAAATTAACATGCAATTCGAAAGAGAAACACAAACAGAATAAAACGGAATTAAAACAGAGTTCACCCATCTTCTTCCAAACTCTAGATTTGCTAGCACTTCATGGCGGAGGCTCAGGAGGGGGACGCGCCCGCCGCTCATCCAACTCAATAGTCATACTTTTTGTATTGATTGACGATATCTTCCTTTGACGTCCCTTGGTGCTGAATCGAAACCATACTCCGCCACAACTTAACCACCTTTTCTTTGTCAACATAGTATTTTATTGACTGTATTTCACTGGAAATGGGTTCAACCTACCAGAAATGGGTTCAACCTACCGGAAATTGGTGGTTCTGTGAATACATTATTTTATTGACTGAATCACACCGGAAATGGGTGGTTCTGTTAATACAGTATTTTATTGACTGAATCCCACCGGAAATGGGTTCAACCTAACGAAAATGGGTGGTTCAGTGAATACAGTATTTTATTGACCAAATCCCACCGGAAATGGGTTCAACCTACCGGAAATGGGTGGTTCCGTGAACACAGTATTTTATTGACTGAATCCCACTGAAAATGGGTTTCTTACCGAAAATTGGTGGTTCTGAGAATACAATATTTTATTGACTGAATCACACCGGAAATGTGTGGTACTGTTAATAAAGTATTTTATTGACTGAATCCCACTGAAAATGGGTGGTTGAGTAAATACAATATTTTATTGACTATATCCTGCCGGAAAGGGGTTCAACCTACCGGAAATTGAACGAGTGAGACTTTGTGTATTGAGACCACCTCCTTTTAGTTTTAACTTTTTGCAGAGAATTGTTTTTATGAAGTGTGTATTATAATTTTTTTGGCAAATCTTTCTAACCTATTATAGTATTAGTTGTGTTATTGCCAACATCCTTGAACTGGGATGAGATTCGAACCTGTGACTTCCTCCTTGGGAGTATCACATGGATGTCATCAGATCACAAGGTACTTGGTTGTGTGTTATAAATTGGAACACTGTTTTAAATATATTAATGTGCTATTAGGTTATTAAGGTCATTGAATTTCAAAGTTTCTTAAGATTTGAAGCACATAAAATTTATAGGCTACCTAACTAACATTTTCTTTTAAGGAAATAACTAACGTATTATTAAACGTTGGGCGTTGGGTTTTACGTAGCATGTACTCTATAAACATTGGGCGTTAGTTTTTTATATAAACATTGCAATGGGCCAGGGCCCATGCTGGCCCCTACCTCCGCCAATGGCCTCCTTTCTTTGAGGGTAGCTTCCATCCCCGTGTGTGTGTGTAGAATAAGCTATTATTACCAATAGTCTGTGCAAAATATGACGGATGTGGCATTAAGGTTTTATCTAGAACATGAGGTATCACTATTTTTTTTTCATGTGAAAAATATAGAATATACTTTAGAATATTATAATATACTTCAGAATATTCTAGGAATATACTTTAGGATATTATTATTGTATAGAATCTTGTATAGGAATATTCTATTTGTAATGTATATTTATAGGGACTTAACCCTTCAATGAAATATATAGAAAATCCTTCTCTCCATATCATTTTAGTTTATATTTCAACATGGTATCAGAGACTTCCATTTTAGTTTAGTTTTTTAGATTTCAATTTAAGTTTCAGACTGGATTCTTTCTTCAAGAACCTGAGTTCAGTCTTCAGATAATTCAGAACCTTCAGACACCAGTCTGTCTCCAAATTCTTTCTTCAGGAATTTCAGATTTTTTACTTTTCCCAGATTCTTCAGAACCTCTAGGCATCAGTCTAATTTTCCAGAAAATAAATTAGCCTGAGCCAATTTCCCAGAAAATTTCTTCGCATACAGTCTGCCCACCAGAAAGTTTCGGATCACACATTTCATCATCACCGTACCCAGGTGGTGCGGGTGCCTCCGACGACCCAGAAACCAAAGTCTGACACCCAGACTATACGCGAGTAATCCGCACGCGCCGCCACAGCTCGGTGATCTCAACTCATGCGCCGGCGCGTGACGTGTAATCGCCGGCCAGATTTTCGATCGGATCCATCACCACTCTCGCCGTCGTATCCTCTACCGCACGTGCTTCCTATTTCCAGGTATCCTTAGTTTTAATTTTGGAGGTCTCACTCGTACTTGGACAAAATCCCGTGGGTGCTTCATAGCAAGGGTGAAACCTGCTAATCTGGAGTGGCTGCTTGAACGTGGACCCTGTGAGGCTCCTTACCTCCTTGTACGTTCTTTCCCAGGCTGTCTATTTCAGTTGGGGTGTGATTGTTCAGCAACCAACGTACGCCTACGATTGGTTCTTGTACTTATGTAAGTTTAGGCCTACGAATATTATTCCAGTCACCCTAATTTACTTGATACCTTAATTCTGCACAACACACAAAAAAAAAAGAAAAAAAAAACCAAAAAAAAAAGTTTCGTAGAGGTCAATTTGACAGAGGAGTAATATGCAATTACTGCAAGAAGCCCAGACACTTGATCAAAGAATGTAGAAAATTGCTATTCAAAAATCAAGGAAATCAACTTGCTCATGTCGCTTCCGCTACCAGTTCCTCTGATGGATCAATTGCTATTTCTGTAGACGAGTATGCCAAATTTATTTGCTACCAAGAATCTCTAAAGCATTCCTCTGTCCCTATCTCGGTAGTTGCTAATTCAGGTATTTCAAACACATGTCTTGTTTCATCATCCTCGAAATGGGTCATTGACTCAGGTGCCACAGATCATATGACCGGTAATCCTAGTCTATTCTCATCATTTCATTCATATTTACCTACTTCTAGTGTCACTTTAGCTGACGGGTCTACCTCACTCGTCCTTGGATCCGGTACTGTTGTCCCAACTTCTACATTACCATTATCACCTGTTTTGAGTCTTCCAAATTTTGCGTTTAATCTGCTTTCCATCAGTAAAATCACGCGCACTCTAAATTGTTCGGTAACATTTTTTCCTGGATACTGTGTGTTTCAGGATCTGTTAACGAAGCAGACTATTGGTAAAGGACATGAGTCGGCTGGCCTTTATATTTTGGATACATCAATAACAAAAGGTATCTCTTGTCTCGGGGTTGGAACTTTGTTAGAGGCTCATTACCGACTAGGACACCCATCTCTCACACTTAAGAAACAAATATATCCTCAGTTTAATAAGGTGTCATCTATACAATGTGAGTCATGTGAATTTGCAAAACATCATCGCACTAGTTTAAGTCCCCGACTTAATAAACGAGCAAATGCTCCATTTGATCTTGTCCATACTGATGTTTGGGGGGCATGTCCGGTTGTGTCCAAATCTGGTTTCAAATACTTTGTTACTTTTGTTGACGATTATTCTCGTATGACATGATTATATCTTATGAAGCGTCGATCCGAGTTATTTACTCATTTCTCTGCATTTTGTGCTGAAATTAAAACTCAATTTAATGTTCCTGTTCGTGTGTTAAGGGGAGACAATGCTCAAGAATATCTATCTGCTCCATTTAAATCTTTTATGCTTCAACATGGCATTATTCATCAAACTTCATGCGTAGACACACCTCCTCAAAATGGAGCTGCTGAAAGAAAGAATAGACATATGTTAGATACTGCACGAGCTCTTCTATTCCAAATGAATGTGCCTAAACAGTTTTGGGCTAATGCTGTGTCTACTTCATGTTTTTTGATCAATCGTATGCCATCTTCTGTTTTGGAGGGTAAAACTCCTTATCAATGCCTTTTTCCAAATAAAGAACTTTTTCCCATTCCACCTAAAATATTTGGTTGCACTTGTTTTGTTAGAGATGTTAACCCTCATCGCACGAAGTTGGATCCCAAATCATTGAAATGTATTTTCTTAGGTTATTCTCGAGTTCAAAAGGGGTATAGATGTTTTTGTCCAAGTATAGGTCGATATCTTATTTCTATTGATGTCTCATTTCATGAAAATACACCTTTTTCATCATCCAAGACAGATATTCATGAGGACAATGATGAAATACTCATTTACACAGTTACTATACCTGAGACCACACCTTCAGTAACTATGCCGAATGCCACTGTTCCTGACCCTAGACCTCCTGTACACTTGGTTTACAGCCGTCGACACAAAGCACAAGATCACTCCCCACCTGTGACACCTGTGATTACATATCCTGATAGTGGTCCGACTTCGATCTCATGTCCTGAACCAGTACCTGCATCTTCAGATCTTGTCTCTACATCTGATCTTGACCTCCCGATAGCACTACATAAAGGTACACGGTCTTGTACTCATCCTATTTCCTCATTTGTGTCATACAGTCAGTTATCTCCTGCCTCATGTTCTTTTGTTGCTTCCATTGATTCTATTTCTGTTCCCAAATCTGTTAAAGAAGCTTTGTCTCATCCTGAATGGCGTCATGCCATGGTAGAGGAAATGAATGCTTTGGATCTTAATGGTACTTGGGATTTGGTAGACTTGCCTTCAAGGAAGAAATCTATTGGATGTAAGTGGGTCTTTGCTGTTAAGGTTAATCCAAATGGATCTGTTGCTCGATTGAAAGCTCGATTGGTTGCAAAGGGTTATGCTCAAACCTATGGTGTTGATTATTCTGACACTTTTTCTCTTGTTGCTAAATTAACATCTGTCAGGTTACTTATCTCACTCGCTGCAACTCATGATTGGCACTTACACCAGTTGGACATTACAAATGCATTCTTGCATGGTGACCTTCAGGAGGAAGTTTATATTGAGCAACCTCCGGGATTTGTTGCTCAGGGGGAGTATGGGAAAGTTTGTCGACTTCGCAAATCTCTTTATGGTCTGAAACAGAGTCCTCGTGCATGGTTTGGGAAATTCAATCAATCCATTGAACGGTTTGGAATGATAAAAGGTCAATCAGATCACTCTATCTTTTACAGAAAAACGAAAGTGGGTATCACATTGCTTGTGGTGTATGTCGATGATATTGTGATTACAGGAAGTGATATTGCAGGTATTTTGGCTCTTAAGAATTTTCTTCATAGCCAATTCCAAACAAAAGACCTAGGCTCATTGAAATACTTTCTGGGTATTGAGGTAACACGAAGTAAGAAAGGCATATTTCTATCTCAGCGTAAATATGTACTTGATTTACTAACTGAAACAGGGAAATTGGGAGCAAAGCCAAACACAACTCCCATGGTTCCCAATGTGCAACTCACATCAGAAGGCATACCATTCGAAGACCCAGAAAGGTACAGAAGATTGGTTGGAAAGCTTAACTATCTCGCAGTCACTCGTCCAGACATTGCTTACTCTGTGAGCGTAGTGAGTCAATATATGTCATCTCCGACCATTCACCATTGGGCTGCTGTAGAACATATATTATGTTACTTGAAGGGAACACCAGGACGCGGGATTGTCTATCAAAATCATGACCACATGAGAATAGAATGTTTTGCTGATGCTGACTGGGCAGGATCTAAAGATGATCGAAGATCTACCTCGGGGTATTGTGTCTTTGTTGGAGGAAACCTAGTATCCTGGAAGAGTAAGAAACAGAGTGTGGTTTCTCGTTCGAGTGCTGAATCAGAATACCGAGCTATGGCACAATCTGCATGTGAGATCATATGGATAGGCCATTTATAGGGTGAAATCGGATTGAAGACACCAATGCCTGCTAAATTGTGGTGTGATAATCAAGCTGCCATACACATTGCCAACAACCCAGTATTTCATGAGAGAACAAAGCATATTGAGGTTGATTGTCATTTTATTCGAGAGAAGATACAAAAAGGATTGATCTCTACGAGGTATGTGAAGACTGGAGAACAACTTGGAGATTTGTTCACTAAAGCACTAAATGGGATCCGAATTGGTTATTTATGTAACAAGTTGGGCATGATAAATATCTATGCTCCAACTTGAGGAGGAGTGTGAAAGATATAGAATATACTTTAGAATATTATAATATACTTCAGAATATTCTAGGAATATACTTTAGGATATTATTATTGTATAGAATCTTGTATAGGAATATTCTATTTGTAATGTATATTTATAGGGACTTAACCCTTCAATGAAATATATAGAAAATCCTTCTCTCCATATCATTTTAGTTTATATTTCAACATTTCATATACCCATATTGATAAGCGTTCTATTAACGTGTTTTATATATTCATCTTAAAATGCTTTATGCTTAAAAAGAATAAAATCTTCACACATATGCCTTGTTTTGCTAGAAGTGCTCTAAATCGACGATTGGACAAAAAAAGGGATGATAGAATACACACGAAGAAAACTGACGGAAAAAGCTCAACCAAACGCATCCCGAGGAACAAACGAAGTCCACAAAAGGCACAAGACAAGAGAAAGCCGCCCGGGTTATGCCAAAGGCGGCCGACTTTTGCTTACCCAGCTTATTTTCGCGTCCAAAGCTGAAGAAACGGATCTGGAGCAAGAAAGAACGAAAACCGACCGGCCTTCATAAAAGGCGGCCGACTTTCGTCGCCGCAGAATAATCCGGATTAAATAAACCAAAAGCCGCCCGGATTTTGGTAAACGTCGCCCGACGTTTGGCCCCTGGAGCGGAGAAAGATTAATTTAAACGTGCAAAAGCCGCCTGGCTTTTGCCAATGTCGCCCGCCTTTCGTCTGGAACTGATTAAAACAAGCAACGGTCATCACAATCATTCGGGAGAAACTCCAAACCCCATTAAGGAGCTTGCTTCCTTGTCCAAAAATGGCCGTTAGGAGCTCAGTATTTAAGCATGTTGAAGCCCTCTCAACACATTATTCCATATTCCATACACTATACTTCCATTTTAGCATTCCAAGATCAACCCCTTGGTCTTGGGAGAAGTTCTACACTTGGGGATTTCATTGTCCACCATAGCTTTGGAATTGTGGTACTACTTTCTTATGTATTTCATTGTATTTCATCATTTCAATACTTGTAATTTCATTATGAGTTGCTCTAGCTAATTTTCCATAGCCAAGGTGAGGGATGAAACTTTACGCACTCTAGGTGTTTGATGTATGTTCTCAACCAAATTATTATGATCTTTCCTTTATATTTTAATGTGTATGACTACGGTGTACCACGTATGATTATATCGTTGGGTTTATTTGAGCAATTAACATTGAGTTATTAACCGTGCACTTAAAGGATAGACATATTCTAATTGTGGATAGAAATATACCTCAATTGAATATGGCGGTTTTAATAATGTCCTAATCTTCAATGGGGTTAATTTTAGAGGAATGTGAACCGTGGCGGATTCACACGCAGAATTAATCACAATATCGCTGTCGTAACAGTAGTTAGAATACTTTAGCGACATTCCACTCATAAGAATTGGTGAAAGAATATACATTAATCGCTAGGAGTCGTTTAGGAGTAATCCCGAACCCTTGGTTGCTCATTTTATCACTTGAAAATAAAAAATCTATACTCTTTTACTAAGTCTTCTACAAATTCTATTCTCAACTTTTGAATCATATAAACAACGTTTCCTCGTGTTCGACTCGGTATTTTTACCGGATTTTATTATTACATTGACACTTGTACACTTGCAAGTTTAAGCCGATCACATATACCAACTATGTTGCCGGAGTCGAGGGTTGACTGATCCTACCGGAAATGGGTGGTTCAGTGAATACAATATTTTATTGACTGAATCCCATCATAAATGGGTTCAACCTAGCGGAAATGGGTTCAACCTACCGGAAATGGGTTCAACCTACCGGAAATGGGTGGTTCTTTTACTATAGTATTTTATTGACGGAATCCCACCGGAAATGGCTGATTTAGTGAATATAGTATTTTATTGACGGAATCCCACCGGAAATGGGTTCAACTTACCGGAAATTGACCCAGTGAGACTTTGTGTATTGAGACCACCTCCTTTTGGTTTTAACTTTTTGCATAAAAGTGTTTTTATGAAGTGTGGATTATATTTTTTGGCAAATCTTTCTAACCTATTAAAGTAGTTGTTCTGTTATTGCCAACACCCTTGAACTGAGATGAGATTTGAACATGTGACCTCTTCCTTGGGAGTATCACAGTGATGTCATCAATTCACAAGATACTTGGTTGTGTGTTATAAATTGGAACACTATTTTAAATATATAAGTGTGCTATTAGGTTATTAGGGTCATTGAAATTCAAAGTTTCTAAAGATTTGAAGCACATAAAATTTATAGGCTACCTAACTAACATATTTTTTTAGGAAATAACTAACGTATTATTAAACATTAAAATCACTAACATATTATTGTATTATTTATTGACTAATTTGGGGGATAAGTTTTCTATCAAGTTGAAAAGATTTGTCAATTTTTGGACTTTTGATTTTTTAACAGGCTTAGTCAATAGGTTTCAGGTCAGGTCAGACTTTTAAACAGGTAGGCTTAGACTGGAAAGCAGACCTTTAATAGGTTGTAGACCAGACCGGAGCCTATACACATTAAAACATGTCTATTAAAACATGTCTGGCCTTTTTAGGCAAAAGCTTGACATGGTGTGCCCTATTTGCACCCTTACTTATGATCCCAGGCAGTGGAGGAGCTAGGGAGGGGCATGGCCCCCGCTTCGGACAATTTTTTTTAGTACTACTACTTATAATATATTTAATGTCCCTCCCTTTTTCAAAAATAGATACCAATTAAGGATAATTTTAGATTAAATGTTAAAATCAAAGACAAAGTCTTTCAGGAAACGTATGTATCTCTAGGAATACAAGTATTGGTTGCAACATACCACACTCATTTGAATGTAAGTGTGGATTATTTTAGACATGTAATGACACACGGGTTGGCTTTTCGTGGTTATAGTGAGCAAAAAAGTGTTGATCAAGTTTAACGAATATGTTGTCACATTTTTATTATAACAAAAAGATCAAAACATTCTCGGGACTATGTTGGATTCCCTCCTTAGTGGAGAAATTCATGAGAATTTTAGAATATTTAGAGATATCCAAGATTCTATATATGTGTGTAGAGAAGTATTGGATGTTTTATAATAATAATGTGGAGTTTTTTAGAGAAGTGTGGAACTCACTAAAATCATACGGAAGTGTGTGGAAGCCTCTAGAACATTTTGAAGAATTGTAGGGTTTTCTAAATTCTTTCAAAAGATAAGAGAATCTTGTAGATACTTTTTTGGAAGAATCTAGATGTGTAGTTGTGTATAAAAAGTTCTAGAGAAGCTTTCCATTTATATGAGAACTTTGAGAAGAGTTCTTGAGTGAGTGAACGTGAGTCTCCTTGAAAGAGGAGAGTGAGAGCCTTCTTGTGAGAGAAGAAGGCTTAAAGATATCGTTTGATGAAGTCTATGTGATCAAGTTGGTAGAGTGAAGTATTCTCATATACAAAAAGTGAGTGAGGGTAATACAAAGTGATATTTTCATATAGAGTTTTTGTATTATGAGTGTGTGCAGTGGCGGAACTAGGGGGCGAGCCGGTGCCCCCCCCCCCCCGTTCGCTGGCGGCGGTAGTGTATATATATGTGTGTGTATATCTCAGCCCCGCCCATTAAAATATGTATATATTACAGCTTCTGCGGCGAAATAGGAGCAATGGTGCTGATGGTTTCTTTGGATGCGTCTTTGATTTAGGGATGCTAGCATATGAGATGTCGTGGGTTCAGTTGCAAAAGTGTCACACTTTTGGACACATAACTTTCTATTAATTTTCTTAAATTGAATGAATCTAGGATATGACATTTGATAAATCTTACTTTAGATTTTTTTTTATCTTTTATTTTACATTCTTATTATACAAATTATTTGTCATTTTTTCTTTCTTCCCGTATTCATATACAAGTTTTCTTTTTTTTTGGTTCAATGGTCCCAAAATTAAATTTATACGGAGTAACATAATTGTTAATCATTTCAAAATAAGAAAATAAATCAATGAATTTTTAATCATTCCTTTCCTTTTCAAATAATGACATACATCATTTAATGTGTAAATTATCAAGAATAGTTCTCAGCATACTTTAACTTAACATACCTATTTACTTTTTCCTTAACATAATAGCATTTTTTTATTGGATTATTAGCTAAATATATCTCCAACTATCATCAAATTCACAAATCTATCCCATACTTTCACCTGTATTAAAAAAAGACTCAAACTTCAACTTTTCTCACAATTACACTTTCAATTGATGAATCAGTGAAAATTAAGAAGAAAATCACATTCATATTTTATATATTTTTTACTTGTTTATAGTTTCAACTTTCAAGTTTACAAATTTGTATTGCTTGTA